TAACATAACTTTAATGAAAAATAAAAGCTTTTAAAATAAGAGCCGTATTTCCAGATCAACTTTTTAATTATAATATTTAATTAAATTGTTCTCGTTAAATTATCAACATTGATGGAAAGACGGCATAACTCCCAGTCGCCGATAATCTTCGCGCAAAGCATTTTTTCTGCTTTTTTAATAGAGATTTTATAATGATGAGCGCTTCAAAGGAACTAATCTATATTTTTGTCATACTTTTGTCTTAGAAATGTTTCCAATGTGTATGCTCAGCAGCTGTTTAAATTATTAAGATAACTTAATACAGGAAGTTGAAACTTGGGAATAATGATCGGCAAAAAGCATTAACTGTGGATCGTGCGTGCATTTTGACAAAGACAAGAGCATTTTTTTCCCGACACGACATTTCACAGATCAACAATTTTTACAGGTACGGTTTTCAAATGGAAAAAAGAAAGCAACTCCTGCTGTAACTTTTGCTTCCCATAGAGATAAGTTCTTTTGTTCTTATCCTCCCGTAAAAGATCTCTTGACAGGTAATGGAGCGGAAATTTTGATAATATGGTGTTGTGATGTTTTTGCATTTCTGGGTAGTACTAGAGACGGAAGTTTCTCGATGGGAAGTACCAGAGTTTATCTTAAAATTGACTTATCGCATGAAAACATTCCATAGTTCCATTCCATTCCAAGTTACCATATACCCTTCAAGCAAATTGTAGTAGAAAGTCTAGAGATTCAGTACCCAATCAGTTGACCGTGTTTAGTTAGTCAGTAATATACTGTTGATTGTTTTTTTTTTCCAGGGGAAAGGAAGAAGAAACGAAGAATCGTCATGCTGTTGGTTATGGCTTTATATGTAATCGTCGTTGATGCAGAAATTGGTTGTGTCGCTGTTGAATATCTACATAGATGTGAGTGATACAGAACTAGAAAATACTCATCTTGAATTAGGGACTACCTTTTCTTGTTCTTCTATTCTTTGTTAGAGCATTGAGCACAAAAATAGTAAAATCGTTTAAATTCACTTATGAAATTGTGTTTCAGTTTTTTTATGTTTCTGTTATACGGGTTTTGTTTTTAATGTTATTTCTTTCCCAAAATTAAATGCCATTCATTTGGGAAGCTCTTGCAATGAAGGCAAGGCGTTTTTAAAGTGTTAAAACAG